ACTTATTGGGTTGACGAAAAAGTCACATTTTTCCATGCAAAAATGTATGACTTTTCCGACAACCCAATAGAAGACATTAAAGAGACTGCCGACACGCACACACACACCCCTCCACTTACCAGTCTTAATAGGCATCTCAAATATTTTTAGACACAAAATCTCACCTTCAAATTACATTTCTATGAGGAAAAACACAACAGGTCAAAGTGGAGCCATTCTGGTTGAAGTAGAGGTGGTGGGATAGGTGAGGGCATATTTTCTAGTTCAACTGAACAACTGCTGTAATAGTGTTTTTTAAAACACAGATTGCCTCAATTAAGTCTTGACCACTTGAAGACAGAAGTTACCTTATTCTCCTATGAATTACCCAGGCCCACAACAAATACTTAACTTTAGTTATGCTTCAATGAATTATTAATGGAAATTCCGTTAACTCAGACTAACTAGAAATACTGGCTCTAAGCAGTACAGATTTTAAGTTCTTGTTTAGCTTCCATTAAAATAATTTTTCTCCAAGGGTAACTCTATTATTGCACCATTACAGAGCCAGAACTGTATTTAATACTAAAGTAGATTTAACTCAGGAAGTATGAAATAAATCCAAATTAAGTAGAATTTTAAAACCACTTAAGAGCAGGAATTAATGAAATACTAGGTTGTTGGGAAAATCATGACAAATTTTTCTTTTTCTTTTTTCTTGAGGTTTTTTTGTTTTTGTTTTTTGCTATAGGGCACATGCACTTGCCAGACAGACAGGAGAGACAGAGAGACAGAAAGCGAGAAATCATCCCCCAGGGGGGATGGTCACTCCACAGTCCCCTCTCCTTCGTTCTCTCGGGATCTTGGGCATGCATGCACACACACCGGGCGTGAGTTTTTTTTTTTTTTTGGAGAGGTTTTTGCTATAGGGTGCGTGCACTCGCCAGATAGACAGAGACAGAGAGACAGAAACGGAGAAATCACCCCCCAGGGGGAATGGTCACGCTGCAATCCCTTCTCCTCCATTCTCCTCTTGGGATCTTGGGCACACAAGCACACACGCCCAGCGTGAGTTTAAGCCACTGGGTCCGGGACTTGAACCACGGTTGACTACGTGGGAGTCCAGCGACATAGCCATTACGCTAACTGCTGGTCCCATGACAAATTTTTCTATGCAAAAATGAGTCATGACTTTCCTGACATCCCAATAGTAAAAATACTGCCTGAAAGGACAATAACAGCTTTGGTTTTTAAAAAATAACAGACATAGATCTTTCACATTCTTTTTTTTTTTCTTTTTAGAGTTTATTTTTTTATTATTTAATTTAATTTTTATTTATTTATTTATTGCTATAGGGTGCGTGCACTTACTGGAAAGAGGGATAGAAACAGAGAGACTGAAAGCAAGAAATCACCCCTGAGGGGGGA